AACAAATTCAGAGTTTGGGTTTTAAAATAAAATCACCTACTTTGAGTTGTGGCTCTGATTTACAAGAGGATGGATGAACACGAGTCAGGGATGGCGAGGAGCATGGCCACCCAACAATCCTACACCTCTCCAGGCCGAAGGCAGCCCATTTTCTCCATCCCATCAGCCAGCATGGGGAGGGCGGGGTCCTGTTCCCGGGCCAGGGACCAAGACAGCCTGAAGCGAGTCCAGCAGGCGAGGCCTCTGGGGATGAATGTTGTCCTTTGACAAATATCGGGAGGGCTGGGACGTTTCAGCTGGGAGACTCAGGGAGGACAGGAGCTGTCCTCCACCTTCTGAAGGCTGTCGGTGACACCACCTCCACAGCCTCTAGGCCCGCCCTGTGGCAGCAAGCCCCTGCCCTTCCTCTGGTCTTGCCTCTCAGCACCCACCCCCTGGGATCCCTGGCTCTAGCTCCAACATCCCCCTCCACTCACCCTCCTTTTCCTCAGGTGCCCACCCTCCACCCCTGCCAGGCCTCCTGCATGCTGCCTCCTCTCCCTGAGATGCCCTTCCCCACACCCTCTGCCTGGCCAACTCTTACCCCCCAGGTGTCTCCTTTGAGTAGCCTATACTGACCCCCCCATCAAAACAGGGGCCCTATTCCGTGGAAGCTCTATACTCTGCAGCAGCACGGGTCCCAATTTAGAATGTATCTGTGGTGATGTGTTTTATGTCTGTTTTCCGGGCTCTGAGTTCCATGACATCATGAAGGGTGTCTGTCTTGTTCATCTCTGTGTCCCTATTGCCCACACAAGGCCTGGAATGTAGTAGGTGCTCAATAAATGCTGGTGTTGCGAATAAGTGAGTGAATGGTACAATCAGGAGGGAGCCACAGGAAGATGATATCAGCTCAGTGAAAGAAAGCTTTCTAGCACAGTGGGCTGTCCCAATTTGAGACTGGCTGCCTGGTAAAGTACTGAGTTCCCTGCATTGGCGTCATGCAAGCAAAAGCTGGTCTCTGGTCTCAAGCCCTCTGTGATCGTTCTGTTGGATGTGGAGATGAAGGCTGTGACCTCTAAGGAACCTTCTGACTCGGAGGTTCTATGTCTGTCTACACAGCTTGAAAAAAGAGCCAGTAATTTGGGGAAGGGGAGGGGCAGGAAGGGAGGAAACATCCTTGGGATGCCAGGCCTGTTACTCGGGAAACAGAACATTTATAGCACCAAGCCTGGGTGGGACCGAGGGGGATGGGCTGGCAGCTCTGGGGACAGGTCTTGGGTGGCAGTGGGACTGGAGGGCTGGCTCTGGAGCAGGAATTGTGACTCCCATCCTGTCCTCCCATCTTACGATGCCCCTGGATACAAGGATGAGGACGGCCTTGAGGACAGGGCAATCTGGCTCACCTGAGTCCCTGTATCCAGCACAGGGAAAGGCAGTGAGTATCCATGATTCAGGCAAAAGAGTCTCCGCAGAGCCTGCCCCGCCAGCCAGAACCAGCTACATCACTGTGGGGCCCAGTGCGAAATGAAAACACAGGGCCCCTTGTTCATAAATGACTAAGAATTTCAAAGTGAGCCAGGCGCGGTGGCTCACACCTGTATCCCAGCACCTTGGGAGGCAGAGGCAAGAAGACTGCCCGAGCCCAGGGGTTCGAGACCAGACTGGGCAGCCTGATGAGACCTTGTCTCTTCAATAAATCAAAAAAATTAGCTGGACGTGGTGGCACGCACCCTATAGTTCTAGCTACTTGGAAGGTTGAAGCAGAAGGATCACCTGAGCCCAGCAGGTCGAGGCTGTGGTGGCCATGAACATGCCACTGCACTCCAGCCTGGGCAACAGAATGAAATTCCAACTCAAAAGAAAAAGAATTTCAAAATGGGGACAGCAGAGCATGGACCCAAGCGCAGGGTCCTACGTGACTGCACATGTTGCTTGTGGACCCACGCCCAGCCCTCCCAGCCTTCCAGAGGATGCTGACCTGCAGCCCCCACCCTGTCCCAAGGACCAAGACAAGATATCAAACTGAGGCCCCGCCATGATGCTGAAGCCAGGCTGGCTTCCCACTTATCTCAGCATAGCTCTTCATCATCTTTATTTATAAATATGAGCAGTCAGGAGGGAGTCACCAAGCAATAGAGGAGACGCCTCCAGTCAAAAGGGTGAGGTGGGAGTGTGGTGGCAGGCAGTGGGTGGAGCCGGCAGAACAAATGACTTCTCTGAAATAGGAGTTAGGAAAAATTGTCCCAGAACTCACAAATACAACAAAGGGAAGGCAGTATCTCTAACGATGTCATTCTGGAGCATCACTTAACAGACTCATCTAAAGATTCTTTAATTGAGCCAGGCTTGGTGGCTCAGCCTGTAATCCCGCGCCTTTGGGAGGCTGAGGTGATTGGACTGCCTGAGCCCGCGGGTTCGAGACCCGCCTGGGCAACTTGGCGAGAGCTCATCTCTACCATAAATCAAAAATTAGCCGGGCGTGGTAGCGCGCGCCTGTAGTTCCAGCTACTTGGAAGGCTGAGGCGGAAGGATCGCCGGAACCCAGCAGGTCGAGGCCACTGCACTCCAGTCTGGGCGACAGAGTGAGACTCCAACTCAAAAAAAAAAAGATTCTTTAATTGTCTAGGGGAATATCTGTATCTTTATCTGATTCCCTATTCCCTGTTTATTAAAGGTCTGGATGCTGTGAAATGACATGTTATCTTGTAGATTTTTATCTGGCAGAGACATACATGATTTCTGCCCAATAGAAAAGATAACCCCAAGGGTTATGGTTTATTACCCTGTAGGTCATTAACCAGCTTCAATTCTAACCTTGTTTTCTCCCCACATTCTTTCTCCCGTGCCTGTTTTCCTAATTCTGCTGATTTCCATCCTGCTGGGTCCATCTTCCTTAATGAGTTGGATAAATCTGTGATATATGTTCACTCTAAGATTTGTGAAGGACATTTTTTTAACCTTTTAGATTGTATTTTAACACAAGGCTACTTCCAGGATCAGGAAAGGACTTTTAAGAAGCCTAATTAGGAGCCATAGGAGATTCAGGTGAATATTGCATCCATAGAACAAGAAAAGGCACAAGGTGCTCTGAAAAATAAGAAATCCAAGAAGTATTCTTGGGAATTAAAAGATACAGAGGAAATGGACAGTTTCCTGGAGCAGTAAGTAGGAGGAAGGATATTACAGAAAAGCCCATGCATGATTCAGAAGACGGAATCACATTATTGACAAAAACCTGTGAGAGAAAAGAGGAACAGCATGGAGAAAAGATAGAGTAGGGAAGCATTCATTTAATGGTTATTCCAGAAGAAGAAAGCAGAGAGGAATGGTTGATAACCAAAGAAGAAATACAAGAACTTTCTTCTGAGCTCAAGGAATGCACAAGTTTTGAGTTCTCTAAGGTCCCCCACCTAGCTTGGCCCTAGAGAAGGTTCTGAATTCAAAAGGTAAAGAGAAAACCCTGCAAGCTTCTAGTTAAGAAAAAGCAGGTTATCTGCCAAGAAAGAAGAACCAGACTTGTACTGAACTCACCAGCAATACTAGACTGTAGGCTTTGCATGACGTGTGCAGGGTTTCGAGGGAAACTCTAGAACAGACAAACTGTCCTTCACACTCAAAGATCAAAGGAGTATATGTTTGGTCAAACAAGACTGAAAAATGGCACTATCCAAACACCTTTTATAAAAAAACTACTTAAGGATGTTCTCCAGTCAAACCAGGATGAGAATGAAGAACATGACAAAGAGGCTGACATGGTGCAGAAGAAACTACATGAAACCAGCATAATTCCTAGGTCTCAGTGGCTGTTTACAATGTGGTTGTGAAACTGAATAGCATGATAAGGAAAAAATGCTTACAGGAGGTGTAACTTTTTTAAAGCACCAGTGAAACAAATCCTCTCACTTCAGAATCTATCTGTGGAATTTAGCAGATACTTGGTGAGATCCTCATATCCTAATTGTCCATCCAGCCATGTGTCATTTACCCTTACACCATCTTCATCTCATCTTCACTGAGGTCACACCTTCTCGCCTTCTCGGTGGCATTATACATGCAAGTATGCACACACACTGACACACATACACACTCACATATTGTTTCTCGCACGCGCGCGCACACACACACACACACACACACACACACTAACGGCCCCCAGCCTTTTTCTCTCTCCTCCTCACCTCTGCCCTACTGACCCTCAGCTCTCATGTGTCACCCCCTCAGGAAAGCCCTCAAGTCCCTGAGTCCCCAGTCTGGCTCAGATGGCTCCTGTGTTGAGTGCTCTCAGCAAACCACACGCTCTACCCAAAGCCTTGGTCCCAGTGCGTGAAGACACACCCACTGCCGTGGCTGGAGGCTGCCACCCCAGACAGGAAGTGGAAAAGGCAAAGCCTATGTCTGGCTTCCCCTCCTCCTCGCTCCCTGCAGCTAGGACAACGCTGACACCTAGCAATTCATTCAGTCCCTGGTGAGTGGGTGAATGCATGCATGGGTCTGACCCAGGAAAGCGGGAAGAAAGGCCTCAGCAGAGTCTAAGAGGCTACAAATGGGCTCAGCTGTAACCTGGCCTCTCCCTGACCACAGCTTGGGTCTTTACAGAAATTGTCTTTGGAGTCAGACAACACCTGAGTCTATGCTCAATCTCTGACTCGATGAGTGATCCCGCATAACCATAATAAGAGATAACATTCATTGGGCATTTGGTTTGACTAGCTACTATTAGTCCTCTTTTACAGATGAGGAAGCAGAAGCTTAGCGAGGTCAGGTGGCTTCCTCAAGATCATACGGCTAATTAGCATAAAACAGACCCAGAAAGAGCTGGCAGGACAGGAGGACACACGACTTCCCAGGAAGGAATCTCTGTCTGTCCAGACCCCTCAGCAAAAGGTCATCGCTCCTTCCAGTCCAGGGGTCCAGGAGGACCCCGTGCATCACCACGCAGCTTCATCATCGTCACCGGAAGCCCCGGAGCATCTAGACTATGCCAAAGGCGAGGGACTTCCCTGGTGGGCACTACCTACCCTGCCATCACGATGAAGAAATCCAGACGGTTCCACGTGTCCCCGAGGTAGCACTTCTTGCCGAAAATGCCCAGGGCCACCATCTTGAGCACCATCTCCATGGCAAAGAATATGAAGATGAAGTCATCAAAGACCTGCAGGGGCAGGAAGAGAGAAGCAAGGGACAGGGTGAGGCCGCAGCACAGGTTCCAGGGGCCATAGCCTTGCTGTGAGGTGGGGACACAGGCATGGACTCAAGAGGTCTGGAAAAGACTCAGAAACTCTTCTTCTTGTGGGCAAGAAGAGCGCCTCAGAGACCCTGGCCCAATGCAGTCCTTTCACAGGCGAGGAGACTGTGGCCCAGAAAGGGAATGATTTGCCCAGGGTCACACAGCCCATTCTATCTGTCCCCTAAGCCCAGGTAATGACAAGAGTCCCAGATGAGGGGATGAGGATGCTTAGATGAGGAAGCTAAGACTCAGAGACGTTCAGCAATTTGCCCCAGGTCACCAAGCAAGTAGGTAAGTGGCAGAGCCAGGACAGGAATGCAGGTCAGTCCGACTCCAAAGCCCCTGTGAAAGGAACCATTTCAACACAGGCCCTACTCCAGGCCCCAGGCCCACCTCAGTGCTGTCTTCCTCTGCTCACAGGGGAGGCCCCAAATGTGTCCCTAACCATGGGCTCATGTGAGTATATATTTCCTGAGAGCAGGGCCTGGGTGGAATTCCTCTCTCCAAGATCAGAGTGGGCGGCAGCCAATCCAATTCCACAGACGGGTGCTTGGCACTTACTGTGTGCCAGGATGTAGGCTGGTTGGTGGGATGTAGAGATGAGTCCTTGGCAAACTCTCCACGAGGGTAATTGGTTCTAGGTGTGTCAGGGCAGGGGCTGGCCGAAGAGCTTGTTACCCACTCGGACCCCAGACCCACCCCCAGAGATTCTGATTCAGCAGGTCTGGGATGGGGCCAGGGTCTGGATTTTTAACAAGTGCCCTAGGAGATCCTGTGGCCCAGTGCTGCTTGGGAACTACCGGGTCCTGTACAAACCCAAGAGGCAGAGAGCAATTCCTCTCAGGAGGAATCTGGCTTCCCCGGGGAAAAGCACTGAGTGTTTCCACAGCAGTAGAATGGGTATAACCCTAACACCCTGCACTAAACGAATACACATGCCCTACACGGGGTCGTGCCAGGGACCAAAGGCTAAGCCCACCTGGGACCTTGGGAGATGAGAGCAGGAGGTGAAGCCAGAGGTCGGCCCCTAAAGGGGTGTGGAACCCGGCCTTCATCCCAAGAGCACTGGGGAGGAAAGGCACGCTGTCGGCAGGAGAGTGACAGGTCATTTGTGATTGGGAGACCAGGAGAAGGCTGGTGCGGATACCCAGGAGGGAGAAGATGGTGGTCTGGACTAGGGCAGAGGTGCCCAGATGAGGAGGATGGATGGAAAGGAAAGAGGATCAAAGGGGAATGGGGAAGACTGGTTGGGGGTGGGGAAGACACAGCCAAGGGAGTGCTGCTGTTGGGGACAGGGCTGCTCTGCTCGGGGCAGGCAGGTAGGCTGGGGTGGGGCCATGGGAGTGGGGGCGGAGCATAGGGCAGGGCAAGGTGGAGGAGGTGGAGCACGGTGGAGACGGCAAAGGGTGGAGGGTTGGGCAGGACATAGTGGGGGTAGGACACATGGCCAGCTCACCTGCAGAATCTTGCAGCGGTCGGAAAGGCAGTCCATGTCGTCGCACGGCTGGTACATGCCAAGTGTCACGCAGTTCAGCAGGATCACCAGCATGCTGACACATTCAAACCACGTGCACACCAAGTCAAGGACAAAACAGCGGGGGCTGTGGCCAGGGAGCAGGGTGCACCTGGAACGGAATACCCCCGACCCACCACACACACAGGCATATACCCCATTCTCAGTTCTTCTCCTTCAAGGTCCTGCCCCAGTCAACGCCCAAATTTCCAAAGCCACTGGAGCCAGCCTGCCCCCATTGCAACAGACGTGGCCATGTGTGCCGAACCCACCAAGGGACCCAAACCCCACCAAGCCGCCACCTACAGGACGCCCATCCCCCTCAGGTCCAGGAAGGGAGAAGGTTCCAGAAGTCTGGTTGGCCGGCCATCTCTGGATTATTTCAGCCCCTTCACCCTTGACTGCCTCCCTTTGCTGACCACCGGTCCCCTCCCCTGACTTGTGCCCCCTCCATCTCTGCCAAGGTCTGTGTCTGCAACCTGCAGAGGGCCCTCTGGTGTGACTGAGATGGGCTGGAAGCCCCCATCCCTCTCTCTTTGCCCACGGTGGGGTTACAGCCCATCGCCAGACCCCAAAACGCCTGGCGTAGGCCAGTCTCAACCCTTGTGTCAAGCAGGGTAGGCCTGGGCCTCCTCAGGCCCACCCAGGCAGATGGTCTACTCCAGTCAAGAGGCTCCAGAGTCGACTCTTAACCCAGTCCCAGGCAGGACCTTGGGGCACGAGCTTAGAGCTGGATGAGTGGGCTCCCCTCGGTACCCTGGACCAGGCTGCTCTCCTCTCCCTAACCGCGGGCACCTCCATAAACACCCTCTTTCCCTCCCCTCCCTGCCCAGCATTAGAGCACAGCCCATGGTGTCCAGTCCCATCACTCTCAATCCATCTAGCCATCGAACCAGGGAGGTCAAGGTCAAAGATACCTCAGGGCTTGTGTCACTCCAGCTCCCCACCATACAGATGAGAAAGCTGAAGCTGCTCAGATCTCCCAAACTGGGATCTCCCACCTTAACTAGGTCCCAGGGCCCCCAAAACCTGTGCCTACTTCAAAAGAGGGCACCCATCATCAATAACTCAAAAAACAACCGAAGCTGGAGAGGACGCAAGGAAAAGGAAACGCTTCTACACTGTGGGTGAGAGTGTAAACTAATACAGCCTCTGTAGAAGACAGCGTGGCGATTCCTAAAAGATCTAAAAATTGACCGTCCATATGACTCCGCAATCTTCCTTCTGGAAATACACCTGGAGGAACTCAAATCACTCTATGAAAAAGATACCTGCACACGCATGTTTATTGCAGCATTATTCACAATAAAAACATATTCACAATTAAAAACATGGAACCAACCCTGCTGCCCATCAAAAGTAAACTGCATACCTGGCCAGGCTCGGTGGCTTAGCCTGTAATCCCAGCACTTTGGGAGACTGAGGCGAGTGGATTGCCTGAGCCCATGGGTTCAAGACCAGCCCAGGCAACTCGGTGAGAACTCGTCTCTACAATAAAATTAAAAAAATAAACTAGCCGGGCACGGTAGCATGTGCCTGTAGTGCTGGCTACTTGGAAGGCTGAGGTGGAAGGATTGCTGGAGTGCAGCAGGTCGACGCTGGGGTGGCCGTGAGCGTGCCATGGCACTCCAGCCTGGGTGACAGAATAAGACTCCAACAACAACAGAAAAGTAGATTGGATTTTAAAAAATGTGGCACATATACACGATGGAGTATTATGCAGCCATAAAGAAAAACAAAATTATGGACTTTGCAGCAACTTGGATGGATTTAAAGTCTATCGTACTCAGTGATCTATCACAGAAACAAACAAAAAGCTCAGTACCACATGTTCTCACTCATAAGAGGACCCGGAACATTTACCAGAACACTGTAAGAAAGGGTTTGGCAGTAGCAGGATGCTGCCAGGGCAGTGGGGACACATAACATCAATAAGGTACCTGACCTCAAACCAAGTGAAGTGGGGACCAAAGGGAGGCCCAAACTTTACCTGTACGATGACCGCTTATCTACATAATCCTGAATTACACCCCATATCTTTAAAAGGAAAAAGAAAAGAGGGCACCTAAGGCAAAAAAGACCTACACCACACATGGCATGAATGACTGAAGTTGGACTTCCAGACCATGAAACCTACTGACCTTAGAGGCAATGACTACAGCTGGGTGTACATTCGCCTTCTCTAAGAGGAAACGTGCTGATAGAACTCGCCACACCCTGTCTACACAACCCCCATTCCGGTCCCAGAAACTGAGCTTCAGGGAACAGAAAGGCAGCACTTTGTGTCATAAAAGCAGCACACAGGACCAGAGATCTGCATTCGAGCTCCAGTCCCAGCACCACCTGGCTCGCCTTTCCACCTGTGAACCTGGGTGACCAGGGACCCCCACCCCACCGGTCCCCTGGGTCTTCCCTGGCCCCTCTGGCCCACACTTTCTGCAGCAGAAGTGAGCTCACCTCCCTCCCCTGCTCAAAACCCTGCCCTGGCGCTCCAGCTCTCTGATCATAAACCCTCAGCCTGCAGAGCCCATCCTCACTGCCCCCCCACGACTCACCCTCACCCCCACTCCTGTCTCCTTCTGCCTCAGCCTGGCTCACCCCCTCCAGCCCTGCTGGCCTCTGGGCTCCTCTGACACACACACTGGGACACTTCACCGCAGGGCCTTTGCACATGTTCCCTCCTCGGGGGCTGACTGACCTGCTAACTCCATTGTCATCTCATCTGAAGAATTCCCCAGCCCGCCTCTCCACCCCCAGTGGCCACAAGCCCTCTTCACACCCTGACACTGTCATCTTGACATGCTCATTGTCATGTTATCTACGGCTCAAACCTGCATTCCAAGGGGAACAGAGATGGTATGTTCACAACCCGAACAATAACAGGAATATAGTAGGAGCTCAATAAATATCTGCTGAATGAACAAATACAGTAGAGATGAGGTCTCATCAAGTTGCCCAGGCTGCTCTTGAACGCCTGGACTCAGGCAACCCTCTCACCTCCGCCTCCCAAAGTGTTGGGATTACAGGCGTGAGCCACTGCTCCCAGCAAATTAAACTTTACCATGGGTATGTACATGTAGGAAAAAACATAGTGTGTCAAGGGTTCAGTACCATCTGTGGCTTCAGGCATCCACTGGGGGTCTTGGCAAATGACCCATGGATAAGGAGTGGTACTGTAAATCTCCACAGGCCCTGCATACTCTGCCACCCAGTGACCTTTGAGTGTCTCCAAACAAAAATCCTCGCCCGGCAAGGCACGGGTGGCTCATGCCTCTAATCCCAGCACTTTGGGAGACCAAGGCAAGAGGACTGCCTGAGGCCAGGGATTCGAACCAGCCTGGGCAGCTTGGCAAGACCTCATCTCTACAATAAATCAAACAATTAGCCAGATGTGATGGCGTGTGCCTGTGGTTCCAGCCACTTGGAAGGCTGAGCTGGAAGGATTGCCTGAGCCCAGTAGGGTGAGGTTGCGGTGGCCACAAGCATGCCACTGCACTCCAACCTGGGCGACAGAGTGTGACTGCGACTCAACACACACACACACACACACACACACACACACACACACACACACAAACCCTCACCCCCTCAATTTCAAAGCCCTGCCCTTGGCTTGGAGGAAGCTACACCAAACCCTGAGTGGGATGAGCACCTCTTGCCTACTGGGAGCCTGACCTGGTTTCCATGGCAACAGCCTCCCGCTCATCCAGGCTGTGCTCACCTTGGGATACTGCCTTCTCATCTGCCTTCCCTCAGCCCCTCCCGGCCCCAGCCCTGTTCCTTCCTGTCCCCTCACCCCGCTGCCACTCTCCCGCCATAGCCTGTAATTAATTTCAGTCGCTGCCAGGGCCCCCTTCTAGCCTGAGCAACGCTCCACGACAGCTTCATCATTAATTAACTTTTCTGAAGTTCAAACGTTCTAATTACCAGCGAACATCCCCCATCCCCCTCGCCTCTCCCCTCAGCCTGTCGCACACTCTACTTCCAGCCTCTGGAAGGGCTCCCTCTGCCCTTCCTGTCAGTTTCAAACTCCAAGTGCAAACTCAAAAGCAGGTGTCTCCCAGGAGCCTTGTCCCCCAACTTCTTCCTCATCAGGGCCCTAAACACTGGAGGCCCATTTTACGGATGAGGAAAACTGAGGCTCAGGGAGATGGGAGCCCTCTCCTGGGTCACCCAGCTGGGAAGTTTTGGAGCAGAGATTCACACCAGGCCTGCTGGTCAACGCCAGTGCTCTCCTCCATGCAGCATGGCCTGTCACAACCCATGGCTCCTCCTCCGTCCCACAGGCCTCAGCCCATCCTCAGTGTCTCTTGCCTGGAGACTGCTCCAGTCTCCTCTGAAGCCTCCGGCTCTGGTCTTTGCCCCTCCAATCTGCCCCACACAATAACCAGGCACTTGCGGTGTGCCCAACACATTTTTTTTTTTTTTTTTTTTGGATGGGGG